TCAGTTTCAGCAGCGGCTGAATCTGGATGCCAGTTCCAACTTACATACAGATTCAACTTAAGAACAAACCTACAGTCCCTATCTTGTACGTAACCCAGGGACTGCCTGTATACACAAAATGATACATGCTTTGGAAATGACCCTAGTGATGTTAATTTTCACATCACTTTCTGGACAACTGAAAGAGAGTCTATTATAGCACACTCTGACTATAGTGTTGTGCACCAGTGATAATGCAACTTACATACAGATTCAACTTAAGAACAAACCTACAGTCCCTATCTTGTACGTAACCCAGGGACTGCCTGTATACACAAAATGATACATGCTTTGGAAATGACCCTAGTGATGTTAATTTTCACATCACTTTCTGGACAACTGAAAGAGAGTCTATTATAGCACACTCTGACTATAGTGTTGTGCACCAGTGATAATGCAAATATGAATTAAATATCTAAAAATGTGTGAGTTGACATTGTTACAAATGCTTCCCAGTTCATTTTATGGATAATCACTGGATTACTTAAGATCAAATTTTACCCCTATATCCTCAGTTCCCATTGAAGTCCAAGGGAGCTGTGTGCGTGTGTGTCTCCTAAAGTAGAATCCATCTCTTAATAACTCTATGTCTCTGCCTCCTCGCTGTTCTGTGGATCAACAGACGACTTGGGTTTCTGGAGTTTACATGAGCACTGGATTCACTTTATTTTTCATATTTTAAATTGTAAGTACCTCCGGGCATGGATCCTTTTCCCATGAATCTGTACAGTGTGTAGCACAGTTTGGCCTTGTCTCAGATGAGGAAGCTAGGTACTACTGTAATACAAATAATAAATACTTCTTGCACCTCCTATAGATTTTTAATGCCTTTTGTTACAGATTGCTGTCACCACAATGTGTATTTGATTCCTTCAAAGTTATTACACAATAATCTGTCAATATGTGTAACGTGGAACTAATACTACTAATAAATATATGTATATCTGAAAATACTGCACTCTTGTAAAAAGTGTGTACAGAACGTCGAAAGAGCCTGGTTTGCAACATATAATCCAGTGGCCAGCAATATATTTTAAACTACAAAAAATGCAAGCCCAAAGACAGAAAGTATACAAAATCGCTTTTATTTATTAACTTCATGCACAAACAGACAAAATATTTTCCTAAACCTTTCAAAAATGTGTAACCCAAGGTTGAGTAGCTTGTTTTCCAAGCATCAGATGACACCAATCTGTGTGGCCAGATTGCAATGCCTTGAAAAACATGATTTAGAGCCATATCTAATTCCCAGTGAGATCAGTAGCCCCGTCTACATTGTATTTCCCTAGTTTATGATAAGAAGATCATGTGAGACTGTATCAAATGCTTAACTAAAGTCTAGGTATACCACATCTACCACTTCCCCCTTATCCACAAGCCTTGATATCCCATCAAAGAAAGCTATCAGACTGGTTTGACATGATTTGTTCTTGATAAATCCATGCAAACTGTTATTTATCATCTTATAATCTTCCGGATGTTTGCATATGGATTCCTTAATTATTTGCTCCATTATCGTTCCTGGCACAGAAGTTAAGATGACTGGCCTATAGTTTCCAGGGTTGTTCTTATTACCCTTTTTTATAGATCGGCACTATATTTGCCCTTTTTCAGTCTTCTGAACTTCTCCCATCTTCTGGCACTTTTCAAAGATGATAGCTAATGGCTCAGATAGTTCCTCAATCAGCTCGTGGAGTATGCTAGGAAGCATTTCATCAGACCGTGGTGACTTGAAGACATCTAACTCTTATAAGTAATTTTTAATTTTTTTTTTTCTGTTTTAAGTTCTGAACCTACACAATTTTCTCTGGCATTCACTGTTAGGTGTCCAGTCACCACTAGTCGCCTTGGTGAAAACTGACACAAGGAAATCATTAAGCACCTCTGCCATTTCTACATTTTATGTTATTGTTTTTCTCTCTTCATTGAGCAGTGGACCTACACTATGCATATCAGTGATGGACGGAGGTGTAAATATCTGTTTCTGGACATTCCAGCCACTCAGTTAACTAAAGTCTTTCCTCAGTAGTTAATTATTGAGATGTAACCCTCACTGTCTTGCCTATATGGGTTAAAACTATAGACAGTGGGTCCTAGAGAGTCCTCAGGAATGCTAGGGAAGGTAGAAGTGAGTTGGAAAGAGGTCACGAGAGCCCATGGAAACAGAGTATGGGCTTTTGAATTGGAAGCAGTGTCCATCCTGTACCTGTTGTGTGGCCAGAGGAGAGCCTAGAAAGACATGAAGGAAGCCAGGCATGGAGAATCCAGTGACATTCATTATTAGGGAAGAACTATGTCTTGAAACTCCAGATATGTGAGTAGAACAGTGAATGTTTAGTCAGACATGATCATGTTAAATTTCCAAGCTGAATCCCAGGGAAGCAATTCTCTGCATTTTAATCCTTTTTTTCCCCAGTTGCTCTGTAACACCTAGCAACTGAGTAATATTTCACCAAGTGTGTTTTCTTTTTTAATAAAAAATCACCCTTTTAAAACTCTGATCTGATTTCTGAGACCTAAAAGCTGAGAGATAATGTGCTTATGCCTAAGACTGCACATCCAGGCTGGTAAGAGAACATACAGTTTTCAAGCTCTCTCCAGAGGGAGGGTTAGAAGAGCTTGATGGTTTCTCAGACGAAGGAGTTCCCAAGTAGGGATGTTAAGAAGTGTTCATTCAGGTAAACGTGTAACCAGTGAAAGATTTGGTGTTTACATGCGGGGAGGGACAGGAAACTCTGTATCAGAGGCAGCAGTGCAGGGAAACAATGCACGGGGGGTAGGAGGTGGCTCTGATACAGAGGCAATAGCGGGGATGGGGGGTGGAGGCTGCATGTAACTACGGAGGTTAACCACTTACACATTTACACAATCACATCCCTATTCCCAAGTGCACCTTCCTGGGTTGTCAAAGGCCCCTGCATTTGGGTAGTGGCAGCAATACCAATCCAAGACCAGGGAATCTGTGAATTTGGAGAGTTTTTAACACAAGCCTTTAGTGGCAGAGTATTTTAGTCTCAAAGTGCCAGAATGGGGAACAGCCTTGACAGTCTCCAAAGGTGTGTCTAGACTACATGCCTCCGTCGACGGTTTCACGAGGCATACCTGCACTGATCGACAAAGGCTTCCTTGTCGACAGCGGCGCGTCCAGACTGCCCTGATCTGCCGACAAACAGCTGATCGGCAGAGTGGGGCAGCCATTTAAATTTAAATGAAGCCGCGATTATTTAAATCGCGGCTTCATTTCCCTCTGCCGATCTGTCTAATCTACATGCCTCCGTCGACGGAGGCATGTAGTCTAGACTCACCCCAACTGTGTAACATGCTATGAATTAGCCAAGTTAGATCCATATAGCCACATGAGAGCTCATTCCACTATAAAGCATGTCTTTATTTCTGAAATCTCTGTGGGAGCTACGTGCAGCTCGTTCCATGCCTTCACAAGATACCACTTTTTAGCAGAGGCATCCAGAGGGGATATCATGTAGTCATTGGTTAAGTAGAACTCCTGCGACTCACCTCCAAACAAGCCAAGAGCTTCTAGTTCACCAGTAAGTGGAATCCATGTGAACTACCACTTGAAGAACAAAAACCTCACACTAAATGGTTCTTCAAGATGTGGATTTCATTACCTGTCCTCTTTTCCCACTGTTACAAAGTCCATATCTCTAGCATTGTATATTAGCA